AAAAAAAAAAAAAAAAAAAAAAAAAACCCCGCCAAATTTAAAGATCTGATGAGCATCTGGAATGAACAAACAATCAACTGCTTCTCAGCCTTTTGGCTAAGATCAAGTGAAATGAATAGACACCTCTCAGATGAAGAAGTAGAAATGGCAAACACATGAAAAAATGTTCAACATCACTCAGCATTTCAGAGATGCAAATTAAAACAATGCTGAGATTCCATCTCACTCCAGAAAGAACAGCTGCTATCAAAAAAACCAACCCATAACAAATGCTAGCGCGGATGGGGGTAAAAGGAAGCCTTCTCCACTGTGGGTGGGAGTGCAGACTGGTGCAACTGTTGTGGAAATCGGTGTGGAGATTTCTCAAAAAACTAGGACTAGAGGTTGCATTTGACCCTGCTGTTTCCCTCCTTGGTATCTTCCCGAAAGAATTAAAAGCATCAGTGATATACGCACATCCATGTTTACAGCAGCACAATTTGTAATAGCTATATCTCAGAAACAGTCCAAATGCCCATCAACCAACAAATGGATAAAGATGTGGGGTTTTTTATACAGTGGAGTACTACCCTGCCACAAAGGCTAAACCTGAGACACTTGTAGCTAAATGGACGCACCTTGAGATCATACTCAAGTGAAATAAATAGGACATATGTTTAAATATCACATTGTTTCTCTGGTGTGAGAAACAAAGTGGAAATAAGGACCAAAATACATAAAAGATATTGGGAAATAGAAAGAAATGTTCAAAAGGGAAGGGGAACAAGGGATGGGGGAGAAAAGAAGGGACAAGAAAAAAATGGAAACAAAGCATTCATAAATAAGGAAGGGGCCAGGCATAATGATACACTTGGGAGGCTGAGGCAGGAGAACTGCTGCATAGGCTAGCCTAGGCTGCACAGTGAGTTTAAGACCAGGGTGAACTACATAGCAAGACCTTGTGTCACAAAACAAAAACAAAAACAAAGGAAGGGAAGAGGGGTTGAAAGGAGAAAAAGAA